TAATAAAACCAAGTATTATCTTGATTTAAGCGACGTGTGCCGATGTGACTGAGAATATGCACTTAAAATTATTTTAAAAACTAAACACTTCAGGCGTACATTCCTGACCTTTCAAATCCACTGACATTGACATGTGCATGTACAAATATGCGATCCCTCACAATTTGGTAATCAAAAATCAGTTGAAATTATTTACACTAATCTTTTGCTACAAGAAAACTCTTTTCGCAATCTTTCCAATCAGTTGCTGTGTACATGGCTTATTTATTCGATTTTGTTTTCAAGTTCCAGTCAGTTGATAGTACCCATGTATTACAACAACAAAAATCCACTGTTTGCCTGACATGGTATCGTGGTAATTTGTTGAAACATCAAACATTATCACATTGTGGGATGAGATCATGAGATGAGTATCAAAATTAACGAAATTTTAAATCTTCAATGATAACTGTTCACGAATTCTAGTCTTGAGGAACGTTGGTTACATCGAAAATACTTAGTTGTATCAGTTAATTGGTAAAGTTCAAAGACAAGGTGATTTGTGAGGACTTTAAAATGACTTGTTAAAATCGCATTTTGTAAATTGCCTTTAAACCAAAGGTTAAAATGAGACAGACATTCCTATATTCGTTGTCATGAGGTGATGCCGCCATTGCCAACCCAATTTGACGCTCCATGGCCATTTAAGAACACACATGTTGTATGGCAGTAACGACAACTTAAGTTTTACATCACTTGTACTGGAATTCATTAACTATTCTTGCTCATTACGACCTCATGTCACTTTAGGCATGTTCCTCATAGATTTAAGTCGAGGCAATGATAGGCAAATTAAAGGTGTTAAAATGTTAATTTGTGCGCACATGTCGCTTGAAGTTGTACGATTTCTACATTTGTGTGGACTCTACACCACTTGCATGACATGTGAGAAACAAAACAGAAATCACTATACAGCGTTAACGATATTTGAGAAAATAAACAGATATCAATGTCATATTCCTGATTAATGATGTGGTTTGGCTTTCAGCATTAATTTCTTACTACGACCTTTGTCCCGTATTTTTGAAAGAGGCTGTAAAATTTGTACATGTGGTTGAATTTAAAATATAACGCTGAGGTTCTACGCATGCATCAAGTCAAATGCGAACGAAAAATTCCGGTTGGTGTAAATAAGTCCCTTGATAATTGATCGTGCACCCGGGCAGTTGACGAAAACTTACGTTTCGGCGAGCATTTTCGCACAGTTGACCAAACAGACGTCAATAAACACCAACGAAACACGGAACAAAACTGTCCTTTTTGATGCAGTCATTGAAAGTGATTGAAGAACAAAGGTGATTTGACGAACAATGTATCTAATCAATCAATGTCGTGAGACCACATTGCCTTCTGTCCCACCAAATATGATTAGAAAACGCCTGAAAATAATGCGCGCACAGACAACAAATATGGCGTCTGTATCCATGCATTGCTGACCCTTGACCTCAGGCAACAGTGTGCTCTGCAGGATGTGATGGTAAACTTGCCCTTGCTCGCTTGACGCCAAAAAAACCCGTATGTTCCAGGGAATCCGGCAGACTTACCTCTGAAAAGCAAGACCAGCTGAGCTGCAAGGAGACAGCGATGGATGGTGCTGGCCGGGATGGGTGGCACGGTAGACCCAGGGGGACCGGGACAACATCAGGGTAGGTGAGAGAATCGCTGTTGGTACCGCTGCCGGGAACACGCCTCTAACGAGATGGTTATGGAGCGGTGTAGTCTCGGCCGGTAGCCACGGGGGATACGCGCGGGTACCTGGCGCGCAAAAGTACTGGTGGTCGCACTCGTTGTGGTGGAATATTGCCACATGCATGATACAACGCCAGTACCTGCTCACTCGGACACAACTTCTTGTCTGTTCTGTCGGGACCGAAACAGATAAACCAACGCCCGTCTCTCTCCGGCAATTTAAACCATTTTCCCTTGTCTCATCATTCGCTGTTCTTTTCCCTTTTTTATACAAGTTTCAATTTGGCCAAGAGGAAGGAGGATTTCGCACCTTCGCCGAGGCGAGTCGCTGTTGAAATGTATCTCCGGGGGTTGTAGGGGTTTTTCTTCTACTCTTCTGCTGCGGGAATTTGTCACTCAGCGCGGAGGGGGACGGCGAGGGGATAGGTCGTACACGGAGAGACACACGCTCACCGAAAAACACACACCGAAAAAAGCAGCGAGGTGGAGAGGACCAACAACAGTCGGGGCGAGGTAACGATTGAGACCGATATCAACACAAAGCCAAATCTCGGTTCATCACCGGACACGGACTTGAACGTGAAGAAAACCCCATTATTGACACGAAAACAACCTGTTTCCGTTGCATCGCACTTCGCAAGAGCTTGGGCTGCGAGTACCAGCCTCGTACTGACAGCACACAGCGTGACTGAGAGGATGGTGGGAGTCAACCAAGACACGAAGCAACGTGCGTATTGTTACTGATTTTAACACATTTCAGAATTTTATAAGCCCAGACCAAGAGAAGCAAAAACATGATAACTTATCTCTTCATTTTTACACTGGCAATCATGCGTTTACGTAGACCCATGTCTCTGCTTTTGTCCCATTTTAAACTGGTAGACTGGGAACTTGTCTCACCAAAGCAGACAAAACGTATTGCTTTAAGCCCATTTTTCTCTAAAGCGTAGATTTACATTCTATTTATAGGTGTAGTAATTACGGTAAGCATTATACCACCTGCTATTTTTCCATTATTATATTTTCCTATACGGAGTTGATATCTTGTTCAGATTTCCAGTTAAATTATTTCAAGGTTTTAATATTCCAACATAGAAACAACGTTTGTTTCTTTTCGTAAGTTTTCCATTAAGTATTCCCGATCAATTTTCCCATAAGATTAAGAGTTGTTCTATGTTTTTTGTTCAAGAGATCATTCCAATGCATTTGATCACCGAAAACCGCAGAATGAACCACACCATGCAAATTTCCCACTTCCAGGAACCTGACCTACTTACGGGCCAAACACCTTTAGTTTATGTTGTAAGGACTATTCCTAGGATGACGTATTGGAAAATGTGAACAGGAATAACACCAAGAAACACGTGGTCTGTCCTCAGGACAACTTCATGCATGCATGCACATTTTACACGTGGACAGGTATAGGTCCTAAGATTAAGTTCATAGAGCAAGGGGCAATGCATACTGTCCAAAGTTTCACTGTACAGAAGATTATATCACAACACGAGATGCTAAAAAAATGCCCAAAGACATACCTGTGAAAGTTCCAAGCCCTTTCCCCCGGCTTTTTTCTCCCTAGAAGATGCTGTCTTCGCATGGTGAGCTCTTGGCAACTGAACTAACTCAGTCAAAAGGCATTGATCGAGAATGCTAACTGAGTGTTTCAGCGCAGTGCAGTGGCGTTTGGACCACATTACGCACACGGGATGGAAACAGGAGCCGGTCTTCACATTCCTGAGTTTATGGGGACCCATGCATTGTCTTCGAGATTCAGACCAACCACTTTCTGAGACCCACATTTGTTGTTAAGGTTTGCGATTGATTTCGGGGGGTCCAGGGGAGGGCTGATTATCTTTACATAAGATCTCATTTGGTAATTGGAATCACAATGTATGCAATACAATCATTTTGGGACTGGCACGCATTAAGCACCTTCTTTGTCTACTTTATTCAGCGATCTTGCTTTTAAGTTTAACAGTTATCCCTAATAAAGTTTTCTTCTGCATTAGGTATATATAATTATATAACATAATTGCATTATGTTTGTTTTACCTAAGGCTTTACAGATGTAGGTATACCACAAATAGTGCCATCAATTCCATAGTTCAGCTGCAAGGAGCCGATCCAGAGATGGTCTTATAATAAGTACATCTGAGCATTATCTCAGCAGTTGGTTTATATGCAATAAAATATTGGCCTACATCATCCCATTTAAACAAATTTAAACACCCCCCCCCCTCCCCGTCCACTTCGGTGCAGTAGAGATTGAAAAGATTACAGAAAATTCAGGGATCGTCTGAAGCTTCATTGTGAACGCACACAAAAAACACGGTGAAAAAGGTTGATTACTTTCCAAACCTGTCTGAGAAACGTGGCCGGGACTTTGCGATCAATCACTCGGCACCCCGTGATTGCGAGATGGGTGCTGTGTGCTTACGGACTCGGTTGAGACGATCAACTGGTGACCGGTGTTACATCATTACTGTCTTGGGTCCAAACAGTGTTTTCTTTTTCTACCGTTGCTAGAACATTGCAATTTTACTGTAGTATAGTGTGGCATGGTGCAGGAAGAGTCTGGATCGACTCCGATATCGAAAACAAGCCTGGTTGTTTCAAACGAGTAGGATGAATGTTTCGATTAAAATAAAATCTCAAAATGAGCCATTGCACGTCTTTGGGTTGTTTGATTGTTGGGTTTTTGAAATGACCAAGAATCCGTTAAAGTTAGCAAGGTTGTGAATTGACATAATCGCCAATGTGGAATATTTGATCTAAGTCACTTTTTTTTAACTAAAATATCGATCAAACCATGTCTGAAAATGCCTTCATTTCAACATAAAATGTTACTCTCGTGACGCAATGGTTTCAAACCCTAAGTTGAACAGTCGCACAAAAATAGAGCAGAGAAGTAACTGTCATATTTCCTCAGTGTGGATTGAGGTGAATTCTTCCCTGTGTACAAGAAGGGCCTCAAATTTGCGTCCAGAAATAAACCTTCCGTGTGAAGAATCAGAGCACGTGATCGCACACGTCATCATGCCTATACCGCGCCCCCTCTGTTGGCTGCATTTCCTTTCCTCCGCATCCAGAGTGCGGACGCAAATAGAAAAGCAGTGATGGTCTGGTAAGCCCGTCTGGTCTTGCTCCCGCCTCGTCTGATGATGATGATGATGACGAAGGTGACGCGCGGGGTATTATTCTTAATATTGAAATTTTACAGCTGAGATGTCACCAACTCGTCATCTGCTCATTAGCATTAATTTTAATAATGTTGACACGGCTAAGTTGTCGGCAACCAATGATTTAGGAGCCCGTCAGCAGACGACATGTGAGTGGTTGGTAGCCGGGAAGCTGTCAGTCTAGATAGTCCTACCGTTTTTCACGCCAATGGCGGGCCTCCAGCCGGCCCCTATCGCTAATGACCGCTGCCCGAGGGCCAGCCCCTTTTCTCAATGGCTGATACTCTATCCTATATCATGACTGGGATTTTTGTTTTAGTCACACAAATACGTACACACCATGGTTTGTTTTGGTTGTCCTGAAGATCAGTCTTCGCTGACCGTCCACTGAAGGAGTGAACCCCCAGCTTGTCATTATTATCAGCATCGCTAACCTCATCAAGCGCCGGGCCGCCGAGGAGATACTCATACCTAACAAGACAACATAACTACTGTGCGCTTTATGCACCTCCTGTGTTTTGACACCGAACTGTCGTGTTGAGGGCACCAAGCTAAGCCGAACCGTGTGCATGCCGACATCGCAAGGCCGTTGCCCGAGCTCCGAGCGGCATCGTCTGTGTTGACCCGCCGGGTTCTACGGCCCTCGTGCCCCGGTACACCCTCGCGGACTCCAGCGCTCCGGTGCAAATTTACTCAGCGATTGACACAGCTCTGCAAATCTCTTCCAAAAGCATTTCGGATTTTGCCGCGAACAAGGAGGGAGAAATTCGAACGGGTTTTACCGCTACTTCTGCTGTTTTGCATCTCGGGATTTTCCTTGACAATCGCTGTTTTATTGGGAAGACACTGATTATTCCAACTTCGATCCAAGTCAAAAACCAAACTAGACATCGACCACGACAGCAGCTGTGACGGAGAAGAAACGGGACACACGGAGGAAGCGATAGGTGCCTGAATAAGTTGGTCCTTTTTTGGCTATGGATTTGAATCAAACGGATCAAAACCCACTTTCCCCGCGAGCAAACCGATTCAGCATTGCTTCACTGATTTCACCGGAGGATCGCGGTGAGGCCGAGGAGGCTTTAGCGGTCGTGAACGGGACCGGCTGTACGGGCGTCTCGTTGCAGAGCACGGGCGACACGTCGCTGGTGGACGCGCTGGATCACACGGTCGGGGAGTGGGGGTTGCGATACACAACCGACCTACACACAATGGAAGGTTTGTACCCAATGGACACAGAAAATACAATTTGTAAATGAAGCCAGCTTCCTTTTTTGTTAAGTTTCAACTGGATTGAAGCTTGAACTCGTTTTTGATTCCCAACTCTCTGTTGTGTTGGTATCAAAATTGTTGTTGGAAAGCATGGTGGATATTTCCTACACCGGGTAATTTGAATTAAGACAATATGGACAACCGAATATGAACGCCACTTACATACACGTACTCTAGTGTTTCTCCCACGAAAAACAGCGTTGAAATAGGAATTATTTGAAACTTGAGTAGTTTGACAAGAAGTGGTATGTTACAAACAATATGACAATTTTTTGTCTCGACGAATTTTTTAATTTGTCAAAATGAGTCAATATTCGTCTGCTTTACGAGTATGATAATCTCTAGTTTTTGTGATGTAGAAATGTTGATGTACACTGATGTAGCTCCTTTAAAATCTGAATTCGATAAACACCCTGAAATGGCTTATTTTTGTTTAAAGGAAACTGAAATCGCGATTTAAGAAATCCAGAATTTATTCCGTTCTGTCTTCGTGTCGAAGTAGTTCCCGAATAAACAATCATTTTTTATCCGTTTTCTGCTCCATGAGTTATCTACGGTACATTGGAGATGTCAGTCATTCCGTAGACTTTTAATTACATCGTTAATCAATGAAATGTTGTTTTCAATCGAGTCCTTGTTTCATTTTGAGACGGGGAATTAATGCCGATTTTCTTCTGTTTGACACTTAAAAATGAAGCCCTTTTCCACAGGCAGCGATGTAAACATGGGCCCTATACAGACGCTGTAAAAATGAACTATCGAGCCCACGACCACAGACGATACCTCCCGGTAGATGTCGTCCTATCCTCGGGTTATGAGCATAACGAGTAACAGATCACAGGTTGTTTATAATAATGTAATTAACAGAGGATGGAACTCGTCCCCGGTGATTTCTGAAGACCGTAAACGGCGATTGGCGTTTACAATTATTGGCGGGATAAGTCGCTTATACGTTGTGTATCAAAATTAGGTGGATAATGTGTAAGATCTTTCCTTGCAACGACTTTGTAACCCAGATATAGGGAGGGTACATTTTTCAGCAAACGACTTGGAACAGAAAACAAGTACTACCGGCAGTGTCAGTGTCACTGTCGGTGTTCCCATCTTTTCTGTAACTCAGTTCGGTAAATTGTATAAGTAAGAAGAGTTGGTCTTCAACGCTTGCTGTTCATGCACTATTTTGTCAAAACTTGGAGCAAGAAAAAATTTACTTTCTCCACCGTCAAACTCAAAGCAACAATCGAACCTTACTTTTGACAAAAGCTAAATAGTTACGTGTACTTTAAGCTCTTTGTGTTTCAACACAGTAAACACATGTAAAAAATGTCTTTAAGTTATCTTTTATAACTTTATAATTTTTGTTTGCAGCGTATCTAGGTATTCTATTATTGTGGGAACTGTTTTTGTGAAGAGGGTTGAAGCACTACATGTACTACTTCATACTTTTCGCCACAAACTTTATAAAATGAAAAAAAAATAGTTATCCTGAATACGATCGGAAAGTTGAAGTCGGAATAGGTTTCAATTAATTCAAAATGTCTGATTTTTCTTTTTAATATGAATTGCATTTAGCTGTGTACAGTTGCACATGAAAAACGCATATACAGTATTGAATTTGTCGCCACGCCAGTAATAAACGTCAAAACATCACTCCCACTTTGCACAAAATTGTCAAATTGTTAAGAAATGAAGTCCTTGGAACAACGACTGTAAGTAATTTCGTGAAATGTAAATGAACTTGAGCTATGTCAGTGTCGGAACGATACAGGTTACTTTAGCGGAGGAAAATCAGTCGGAGAAAATACGCGTCAATGCTTGATTTCTTAGCTGATATTTACGGGTCTTTCGACGGACATAAGCTTATGGTCAACATTTATGTTTTCTGCAGAGAAAACATTATTTGTTTAGACGTACATTGCACATGAGAGCAACAGATTGAACAGTCGGTAGCCATTTTACAAGGGGTTAAAGTAACCAACGTTCTTATAAATCAAGATCTTGCATGTGCAATATCAAAAAGGTCGCCGGTGTTGTCTGGTACCCTGATCACCATTGCACATGAAATGTGTACAGCTCTGTGCGACAAAAAGGAATGTGATGGGATGGAGCCACAAGTAGGCACTCACATGAATCGGTGTGTACGCAGAACAAGCGATTAAAGCAACCGCCGCAAACAACATTTCACTGAGACTGAGATGAATGTAGACAGGGCGTCATTTGTTTGTTCAGTAAGGCTACACCACATTAAGAAATGTAAATCGTCGGGTTAGATAAACATGGCGGGCCATCACGATGCTTCTTGCTGTGCGCGCCCTCAGTGACTGAGTGAAACAAAAATCTCTGCACAGGGGGTCGAATGTGATGCAGACCATGGAGCTATAAACGTGTTTATAGCTCCATGTGAAGACCCACTCAGAACTACGTTCTTTGTAATTGTATGAATTACTGTTCTGCTTGCATGCATTCAATACCAATGAATGCTTTAATGCATGTTTATTCGTGAAAAATAGCTTTTCTTTCCCTTTTTGGCATTACAAAGGAGAATTAGTAAGCTTGCTAAAGCATAGAGAAAGGTCACAACTAGGACATTTTCTCAAAGTTTGTTCGGCGCTATTTCCTAGGCAGTTAAATTAATGAATGGGCTTTCACTTTGATTTCACACTACTAAGTAGTCATGGACTGACGTGAAAATTAGCCTAACTCATTTCCGTACGAAGACTTAAGACATAATTGTAATTTTTCCCTGCAAATGAGAATTGGATCGTGAGTTGGCACTTCGTCTTGGTTTTTAAAACATAAGCCTGTCCCATTTCTAATACACAAGTTCCATAGACCCATCCCCACTTGTGTGTTCAATGACAGCCATTCAGTACTTATGCGAGTGGATAGCTGGCAGGGAGGGGTGTCGTGCCCCTTGCTAGCCCCATTTCCTTGAGTTTTTTTTTTTACCCGTGCATTTTTGCACCGATGTGACAAACCGACAGGCCATTGCTAATGCTGAGTCTTGTCTCTTCGTATACACGCGGCCGATATGCGCGCCGTGACTCACCCGTAATGAGTGATGCGCCGTACATGTTTTCACGGTACAGGCGCTGGGCCTGACAACCTCTTTACAATGACTTGCGATCCCCCCCTTGTAGAATAATAATAACATAATAGAAGGGGATCTTTCCTAACTACCGGAAACTGGGCTCTAGCGACTCAGGAAAAAGGAGGTTAGATATCAAAGAGTTTAAACTATCAGACGGATTTCCCAACCCTCGAATCGCTTAGAGCGTAAACCATTAATGCCCATCACGAGATTTTACGCTTGGATGACAGTGCTTTTGTCATAATTTTAAACTTGCATTTTAAGGAGGGGGACATGGCTTGACAATCCATTTGATTCAAACAAATATATTAAATTAACAGGCAGAAGACTTCTGTTTACGGTGTGTTGAAGAACAAAAAGCCGATTACATGCATGAAAAATAACCATGATGCATCATAATTATTATGAAGCATGGGTGCTTTTTACAAGGTGGTGTAAACACGTGATGTAATCATGTGACGCGTGACGTCATCATCAGCGATCGTGAATTTCATGTTCAATGTGGTTGCAGTTGGCACTTCCACGTGTCCAAGCTTAATAAGATTAATGTCAAAATGCAACTTTTTTTGTTTTAATAGCTCTTTCCTTGTGTATGAATTTAGTGCATTCTTCAAAACTGTCATCCTCTTCGAAATTAGGTATTAGAGGGCTCTTTTCGAGGTTACTTTACGCGCTCAAATGTTTTGATCGTCGGGCAACTTGCAATTTATTATGCAGACATACATATTTTATTATAAGACCAGAGGGAAGATGCAGCTTTATGTTCATGGTGTGAATATGTCCGATGACAATGACATTAAAACCGGGGCATGATCCTCTGATAGGCAAGATGTGGAAATCCTCAGGTGCCTTATGTCAGAAACTAATAATCAGCTTTGTTTAATAACATTCTGCTATAACTATGTTGAAATGTGACCAAACATTTGCCTTGTAACTATGCGTGCTTACTGCTAAGCTCAGTTCTATCATGTAAAGGCTCTAAAGGCTATTACGAAAGAGAAGTAGCTCAAACAATCGACCTTATGATGATTCTGTTTTCCGTTCCTTCTTATGCCTAGGGAATGCCTCATTATCGTCTTCAAAAAAAAATGGGTGGTATGAAATGATTGACCGGGGAAAAAAATTGGCTTGAAAGAAAAATCCTTAAAATTTAACTACTTAGTTTGATATTGGATGTTGAGTGTCCAGACAGCCTTTTCTTGTACACATGGCTCGTTAATAAGGTTGTATGCGTAATTCTAATGTTGTCAAGTTTTCAAAGCTTAGTCACTAAAATCGAGGAAATGAAGTGGAAACGGCATGGTGTGTCTGAGGTCGCACCCGCCCGGTCCCGTGCGGCCAGGGCGGACGGGTCCCGTCACTCCCGTGCGAGTCGCTTTTACTCCTTCAGTCTGAAGAAGATGAGGAAAAAAACTCGGAAGGGTAAAATCGGAGTCACTCTCCGGGCTCTGGTAAAGGGTGAGTGGGTTTGGGATTTGGGAGGGGGGTGAGAGAGCTAGCGTGCTGATGACTTACCCCCTTGCCAGTTTGGATAAACGATGGGCTGTCCGGAATGATTTCTTCACCGATGTTGAGTACCGAAATCCGGGGTGGATTCCTATCACCTTGCCCTTACCGTGTGGCGCCCATGCTACCCCCCCCCCTACCCCCCTCCCCAACCAACTAACACCACGGCAGGCTAATGGATGGACCTATGGGCTGACCAACACCCTCGGAGAGAGAAAAATGCATTTCCTCCCCTTCAAGATGGTTCGGAAATCACCGGGGACAAATTCAGGTTATCGGGAATTTTTGTTTCTCTCTCTCTTTTCGAGGTACGGGGAGAAATCCAACTGGAAGCGTTCCCACGGGGGCTCTGCTCGGCCGTGGCTGGGTGACGCGGCTGTACTGTGGGTGCACACCAAGTCAGCTGTTTGATGTGCTAAATGTCGGGTTGCTGGCTGACTTGCAACACGGCATATCGCCTGCCATCGTGCAGGGCTGCGCCGCTGTGATAATGTTATTTTTGGAATGTTGTTAAAGTTCACGGCGGGTACATTTTGGAACATGGGCGGGGCGTTAAGGTACCAAAATCACCCCCAGTGCAGATTGGCGAGTTTTTCACTTTTTCCTCGCATGTTTTGAGGCGAAAAAAAGAACATGAAAGTAATCATTCCTTTTGATCAATGCACCAAGTTTTGACTCTGAGTGGATCAGAACAAAATCATATTTGAGGGTTAAATTTTAACAGAAGACAGGAAAACATCATCAATTTTCTTATTCTGGAAGCACATCTCTGGTTTATGACAACACAGTTATTTACAAAATAATAATGTTACAACTTTTTTATGGCCCAGAAGTCATTGCAGAACTCCATCAAGAATCAAATATTACAAGGCATCTCCTGTCATAATTACAGATGATATTATTTATGTCAATGTTTTAATTCAAATCGAGTGAATAAAATTACCCATTTACCTACAGAGTACGTTTGATTTTGAGCAGGTTACTTCTTGCGTAAGGTATGAAACTTCAAGTTTTCGAGAAAAAAAAATGTGTTTATAGCTTTTACCCTTACACAAAGTTTCTAGAACAAAAATACAATAAGGTTAAATTAAGCTGTTGGTGCCGCTGTTGATGCATTTGGTACATTGTAGGGGGCCTATATATACCGCAGGGTACACGCATATCCATTTGTTTGGAGACTGGAAAACAATGCATGTGTTCTTTTTATTTCTTTGTTTTGAGCCCCCAAAACAAATTAAGCCTAAATGAATTATATGAACAAATCTTGTCACCAAACTTGATCAGTTATGATGACAAACGAGGCCATCCCTGGTTTAATTCGGTAGACAAAATCTGCCTCCCTGAAAATCGATTGAGATCCAATAATACGCCGAGTGCTCAACCCATTGGAGCAAAATAACTTTCACACATTCCCCGCGGGATTGGTGGACACGACCTCGTGACCTTAAGGGTTCAAAGGTCACCAGAACCCTAGTTCCGTGAGGCTGTGGTCTGCTGCATGGTTGGGTAGAGCTCCATGGTTGGGTATATTTTCCAGTGCTTTCATTTGAGCCATTTTGGCTATTACTTGATGCTGTAAATCAAACTATTGTTTAGGTTTGCTCATTTTGTCGAGTTTGATTAGCCTTTCGTTTAACTTGAGGAAAATTAGACTTGCCCACACACTTTACATCGATGTTAAAAGGTGTCCTAGCCGAACGCTTCACCATACATGCAATGTCGGTTTTTTTCTAGTTATGAAAAAAAAAGAACGAACATATAAACTTGAAAACATTCGTCTTCAAAATAGGTTGGAACAATTTTTATTTCAATTTTAATGTCTTTTCTGACCTACTTTCGGGAGACACTGTACTCAATAGCAAGTCCCGCTTCGTTGAGAACAAAATAACCCCAAGCCCTTGGTCTTTTTCCCCTCCATTTCTCGTTCTGCCTTCCCGCCCACATCATCATCGTCTCAGCTCCATGATCTCGCATTGTCATCTTATTTATGTGAACTTCTAATTTGTTGGATAATTGCGAGCCGGAGAGATAAATCTTCCTCCAGCTTGTCCCGTCTGTCATCCCGGCGATGTATCGATGTAATAATTCCCTCCCACCTCGGACTGACCGGCCCAGCGAAACAAAAATATACAGTGATCAGCAGCACGGCGATGAGAGCTGGCGTGCCTTGGCCCGTGATTGAGCGACGCTGCACGGTAGAACCAAACGCGATTTGTACCCTCCCCTCCCTATAGTATATAGGTCGTTCCACATTTTTAAACATTAACAGTGAAATTGAAGTAAAATGAGGTCTCAGTGCGCATTTACATATTAAAATTTTGACCATTTTCCGGGTAAAACGCAGCTGATAAATGTGGGATAATAAGAAAACTGCAATTTGAAATGTCGCCATGCAATCAAAAAGAAGATGGTATAGAGTTCGCAATTAGGGCCCTCTGTACAAATAAGACTGCAAATAATACAGGAAATAATTGGGTTGTAGAAAAGGAAATGCCTTTATACATGTTGCAGTCTGAGCTTTTTAGTTTATTTTGTGGGTATAGAACTACGAATACGTTTGGTTGGTACCACTACCGGCGGCAGAGCTTTTTGTACGCATTATGGCTGATTGTTTATGCAAGTATACGCGCGTCAATTTGACCTCTGTGATTGGTTAACCTCTCCACGTGATCGCAATCACAGATACCTTTCACATGCGCTTGTATCTCTATAATCAAACTTGAATATTCATATTTTGGTTTACCAGTTGTCAATAAAAAGTTCAATTGAGCTGTAGTATATTAGTGCTTGGAACACTCGGAAGACCGTGATACAACTTTATTAACCCCGCCCTTTAACACAATCGGTTATATCCTGAAGTTGATGGAAACGTCATTAGCCGACTGTTTACTTGATATAAAGGTCAGACTGATTCAAGATTGCCTCAGAGATGACATTGCATCACTGCGTGTTCCGTATCTTGAAGTGTCAACTGTAAACTCGTAAGACCTAAATCCGTGCATTCGGATAATGCTGTCGATTCTGCTGAAGAGATGTGTATTTTCAAAGGGGGCATTCATTCTAACGTCAACCACCGATTCGCTGATTAATTAGGCCGTGTCCAGAGCTACGGCTACGGCTCTCGATATAAGTTGTCAGCTTGCTCACACGTCGTTCTAATTGGCCTGGACCTAGCCGATAGCTCTAGTCAAGAGATTTGGATGCGGCCATGTAGACCTACTCTGTCATGCATAAAAAATGAAGATTCTTGTAACGTGATAAACATAGTCTGTACACGGTTAATACTTTCTGTTGTTAAATAAAAGGTGACAATGACCATTTTACTTGGGGTTCATTATTTCCTTGCGAATGTGACAGTTTCTTACCCAAAAGCTCAATTTTATAGAAGTTGATTTGGTGTTCGACAGCCTGTCGGCCTATTTCAAACATGTATCACCATGGACGGCATATCATTACTGATATAGGAGAGGGTGGGTTGTAAAGGACAGGAGGACCATGCCAAATCGCGAGTGGGATTCGAACCCTCGACCAATGGTTCGTAAGCTTAGCTGGTCACTAAATTCAATATCCTACCGGAATACTGAATCCAAGTCATTGTTGAAATCATTGAGGTTTTATAGGGTAAGGTAGAACGAGGATGGAGTTGGTATAGCATGTTGGCCGACAAGGTTGTTAGGTTTTTATACTAGAACTAGTGTTTGCATCGTTTCGTTTCATTCCCACGCGTTGACTTTCTTCAAAGAGGATAGTTGAAATGATGGTGCCACAATCTATCTTGAGTTTTCTAACCCCTTTTCATCTGTCTTCTTTAGAGTGATACTCTTCTCTCCTGGTATCCTACAGCGAATTTTTTTTCTCAAATGAACATGATTGCATACAAACATGCATGTTTACAGATTAATCACGACAACTGTCAAACGTAACTTTGACACAAAATGACTTCACCACGCACCAATGCACTTGTAAAATAAACACAGGACTGCATGTATCATCACGTGTGGAAACCATCATATGCTGTTTTGAAATTCTAGTGGGTCTGGTTTCATGTAGAGTCATAGGGCAACAGGTTAGATTCACATCACCCCAAACACATTTATTTCTCATTCTCTTTTTTTCCCCTCCTAATTTGTTTTTCTTCCAGTTCCAAGCAAGACCTCGGAGGGGTATGACGAGAGTTGCAACAACACTCGCCGGTCCTCCAGCCCGCCGCAGATCCTCAGCGACCACTGCAAGGACAGCACCGGTGGCGGTGGAGGTACCACCATGGAGCAGATGACCAAGCTGTCCGGCTCGGCTTCCGATACCTCCTCCATGAACGGGGACAGGGAGGGGCGGGTCCGGAGCAGCGACGGGGACGGAGTGGAAGACGGCGAGGAGGGCCAGGGTGTCAAGAGACGGCGACTGGACGAGAAGCCCATGAGCGCCAAGGTGGTGACGGTGGAGGTGCGGCTAGAGATGAAGGCACTCTGGGACGAGTTCCACTCTCTGGGGACTGAGATGATTGTCACCAAGGCTGGAAGGTGAGTGACTTGAATTTTTTGGTCAAGGAGTTTGCTATGCTCCCAGTGAAATTTTAAAGATTGGAGCACTATTGGCATGTTTTACAGGATGCCAATGACGGCGATAATGGTGAAGGCAAATGGGTTATGGTGGTGCAGATGGTGAGGTTCCGAGAGGAGGTGGCTGTGGTGTTGATCGTGATCAGTCAATGGCAGATCCAAGTTGATAAAAATGCGGTCAGGCAATTTGAAAAGGAAGGCTTCTTCCTCATTTTCTACTTTCTGCGTGCATGTTTGTCAACCTGGATTCGCGTCTGAGTGCAGTGATAGATACCAAGGGTGATAATGCTGGTGATATCGCATCTCCTTCACCGAGAGGTGTGATACTGCTTCCGTCGTTGCTGCTTGTGCTCCGAGATAAAGACGACGATGACAAAGGTCGACAAGGATGCCACGACATCACAAAGATGACGAGGATAAAATCTGCCCCGCCAAGACTGTATACATGCAGCATTCAATGATGAAGATGTCATTGATTACGACGATGATTCAGAGTGACCAATAAAAAGCATATTTCATTTCCCCCACACACTATCACCCACCAAGCAGAAAGTGTATATTTATAACCGTCGAGGCATCACTTCCAATATCCGGGGTCCTGTCCGGCCGAAATCTTGGCCGAGATTTCCAAATTTGTTTGCGGTGGGCTCACAGGATGTTCGAATCACACCAAGGAGCGATAACAGATGTTATCCTCAGTGTCGGGGATGTTCGTCTCAAATGCCGAGCATCAACCAGTTTCTGGTCGGTCCTCCCTCATTTCCCAAAACTTCTTGTTAAGGATCTTCTAACTTCCTGCAGCCTCCGCGTCTTCGCCTGAGGCGGTTCCTATTTGCTCTTGTTCTTTGGAGCTCTTCACACGCTATTTGCTTCAGAGAGAGCTGAGCATTGGACTTTCCCATGCAACGCCTAAAACACAAATGCAGCCGCTATTGCCAAAAATATGGGAGTTAAGGTGGGCCCTACATAAGATATTGACATTGTCTTAAAGATATCATGTCTCCTATCGTCAAACATTTCATTGTATCAACCCCTCCCCAAGAAAGTACATGGTACCAAAGGCTTGTCTTCAACCTTTTATCTCCAGTGTTACTGAAACCACTGCGTGTGATTTTTGCAGAAGTGTTAATGAACTTATGAAGTCGTCTGGTGATATCACATTCGCATTTTCTGCGTGTAAAGCTGTGATTTCATTTCAGTTCCCATGATCTAGCTCAAGGTTGGCCTTGGAAAAATCATATTGATAACTGCTGTTCTGGCACCGTGACGCCAATATTCAAACGACAGATGCACATCAGTTAATCCAAATAAACGCTTTTTCAGTTCGAGGAATTTTTATTTCCATTCTGTTCAAAGTTGGTGAATATAGAGGGCTGATTAGAATGATGGGTGGTACTGGTGCAACACCGACCTAGCTGACAGGTTCTTTTGCTAATCGCCTCCCTGAAAGATGCTGCATGGCACAGGCCGACTGCATGGGTCAAAGTGGTCATTTTTCTCGGTGAAATATCGAGACCGATTAATGGTGAAGTTTGGAATAAAACGAAAATGAAGGGACTGTTTGAATTCGTCGTTGGGGGCTGTTGTGCCCGAAGTGTTCCATGACACGGTGACGGATGGAGGAGGAATATTTGTGGGTCACAGGGAGGGAATAAACGGGGGACTGTTTGTTGATCCGTACGGGTTGAATGCTCGCTGGTAGAAATAAAGAATATTGTCATGGACCCTCGGCATAATAGATGAATGTTTATGAGCACCGTACCCGGAGTTTTCCTGTCTCATTTCGTATGCATTTTTAGTTTCAGTTAATGGGAATGATCTGTTGTTTCCTTTCGTCTTGGCTTTTCCACAATGTCTTGTTTGGTCAATGTTCAGTTTTCATTCATAGCGTGATTGATTATAACCTCTCCACGTGGAGGCATGTTGAATGTCAACATGTACCTATGGACGCCAAACATCATGTCTGTAATACATTCGAATTAACCATTCAAATCGCACGGCCACTTGAGCGGTCAAATTTAACCGTTGTGGATGGATCATTATTATCAATTTATCGATACATAATTATAATTGGCTGGTAAAGTTGCCAGGTCGTACATGTACATCATACTTTCCGAAAACATCTTAATTCAAGTAAATTATGTCAGTGAACAAGTAATTGTTTTTGTATTGAACAATATAGATATATAGTTGCAACACTGCACAAACTTAAGTGTTTAATTTACACCAAAGTGTCTACGTCAGTAACGCATCCATGTCTCGCGTCCGTCTGTGGATCAATAAATACACCACAGGCTTTCGCACTGTAGCGTTTTGTCATTGAGGGTTCGAGCTTATTACATTGCAAGAATCCACGATCATCTGCTTTTGATAGAACTATAGTCTGAGCCCCCGTCACCGCTTGGCCTTTGAATACAGTTAGAGGTGCAAGGAGCTCAGACGAAACGAAGTCAGGCGATTTGCCAACAACCCGGAGTTCATTGTCAGAATTGATATCGCATCATAAAAAGGCATAATACTTGCACCAGCCAGGAGAGTGTTCGCTTGTCGGGCATTATTTATGGCGGGCTTGATCAACAGCTATGCCGAGAAATTAGCAAATATTTCCCGGCGATTGGTGCGCCAGCTCCGGTATGCGAGCGCGTATGGCGTCCACGCTCTCGGACCCTTTGGTTGTCCTATTGTGTTATGATTCCAAGCTGCACACTGAGCTCGTGGTATGGCGCTAATCAACTTCAGACCCCTAATGATTTGTGGTTATTAATTGCCACAAGGAGAGGAGATATCGCACCTGGATTCCTCAGGCTAGATCGGTTTCCCTATATTGTTAGACGATATTATAAATTCAGATCGCCTGGGCAGTTTGGCAGATGGGTAGGCAAGATTTACAATTTGGTATGTTTACGATTACCAAATAAGGAAAAAAATATTAACTGTCGCTTCATGCTCTTTCGAAAAATAGAATATTTACCAATGGTGTTTTTTGTTCATTTCATTACTAGGACAGAGGACATAACGCCATTTAAAAAAAAAAAGCTCTCAAGATATGTATTCCTGATATTTAATAAAGAAAATTCAATTGAAATGCAATTTCTTCAAATTGTGAGCTTGCGATATTCGGTTTATGCATTCTAGTGAAACCAACGAAAATCGTTCATCCTTGAAAACTGAGGTTTGTGTAGTATTGTGAAGGGGCTTGCCTATTGACTGCAGATATTTTGCTCAATAAACACTGTACCTTCATCTGTAAATATCCACATCGGTTATTTTAGACAATTGTCTTAAGTTTTTGCCCTTCGCTCTTTTGGATGCGGTCGGTGATATTAAAATAAAGTGTCGGTGATGATATTTCAATACAATATTACTGTGTGCCTTTATATACGAGGATATCGTGGCCCCATCACGATCTACATGATTTAAATTAAGCTCACGCATGCAGCAATCACCGGCGTCGGACTGTCGAGCACACACTAAACTAATGCAAGTGCACAGTGCACAATAAGCTCTGGCGAAAAATGCGACGCCAATGGCACATATGGAAAGCCATACTTTTGGTAAACTTTCATTTCCTCCTGGATACCGTCCAACCACTACAAGAAAATTCCACGTGACTATAACAATACTGCGCATATCTTGCCTCCGTTTACAACATTTTCATAAACAACTTTACGAATTGTTACAAACAGTTTTAGAGTGCATTTACTGACGACGGCATGGCATTTGCTCAATATTGTTTAAATATTTTTGGTAAATTTTCGGCGATGGGACCGACCGACACCCAAGTGAATTGTAGAAGCTCCTGCCAGAGCTCAAAAACGACACTGTGGACTTCACATTTTGAGAAAGTGCGAAGTTTTCTTGATCTTGATTGACACACACACACATAAATAGTCTCCACAGACGCCATCTTGAATTGACCCAGTTCGAACACCACAAGTTGCAAATTGGGGACCATTACGCAAACTGTCGTTGTACGATTTAATGTACATGCTAGTTTATTACCAATCCGGGAAAGGGTTTAAAAAGATCGATTAGTTGGCTAAACGCTCAAGACGCGTGTTCTTTTTTCTTCTGGTCTGCTCAGGCATAGCAGTACAACTTGTATAAAGTCTTATTTTGTGGTTAGCTGGGTATGATGACGTCACACAGGTACAACTTGTAATGAACGTCTGGTGTCGTGGAGCAGCTTTCCACCACATATCGTTTGACCTCAAGTTGGGGTCAGTTGGCTGGTACTCAGCTAAGCTTCGATTTGTTCGTGTAAACAAACCAACCTCAAAAGTTGTGACAATTTACTAGTGTTGCCGTATTGTTCAAGTAGTTTTGTACTTTTCTGTATGTCCACCGAGTATCCCCAATTAAACACGACATGTTCTGAAACTGAAAGGTTATCCAGTGTGGAAGTTGGTCTAGAGAGCAGTAGTACGGCACTGACCGGCTTGAAACCAGAGGGCCCATAATACCACTGCAGTGACTGCACAAGCATCTGGGATGGATCCGATTATACCCTAAACCGAGGACTTTCTGCAGTAAGTCCGTGATTTGAGGTTTAAAGTAACTCTAAACTCCGGTATGTCACGCTTTTCTGCCACCCGTCTGTTCCTATACAATATACCAAAACGCCACGCTCACATTCTTCCGCGATCCTTAAAATATCGGTCATGATTTCCCAAATTGAAGTAGGTCGTCGAGGAGTATTGATGTACACCCCAGTACATACAAGTCCCCGGAGATGTCTGGGATGATAAATCGAACTCATTCCGAGGAGGGAGCTTCCCGCCGTAAGATTTCATTTTCCCGCTGAGATATCATTTTCCCGCGCTCACCTCCGCTCCATCTCATTTGACACTTTTGTTTCGCCCTCAGATTCCCCACGAATTACCAGAATCTTGGGGAAGAAGTGATGATCTTCCAAAATGATACAGCAGTGGTCCGATATGGTCGGTGCAACCGTAGAATCG